TGGCATCATCTTAATGCATTCTTCTGGTTCATTTCTCGCTGTTGTTTAGTTCTTTCACTATCGTTGAATTCGAATATGTTATTGGTTTTAATTCAGTTTAGTATAGCATCGATTTGTTCCGTTTGTAGTTTAGCATAGTATCTACAGACGCTAGGCTTTTCGTACATGTAGTCCTAGTTATCGTTAGAAGTTCGTTTTGTTGTCGCAGATTCATTCCATAAGCTGTCATATTACTGTTGGTTGCAGTCAAAACTACATTAACAGTAGTGATCTTAGTAAATGAATCAAAAATATCAATGAGATCGATCTTGAGAGAATCAATACTTGAACTGAAATTATTCAGTCAACCTAAGAAATCAATCAGAGAAGATAATGAGCAGGCTCCAGAAAAAGCTTATAAAATTAACTTATGGGATGAGTGGATGAAGCTTGATGAGTGAGTGCTGAATAATGATAATGGTGATGCGAAGGGATAATTGCAGGGATTTCGCATATGTAGCACGTGATCGCAATTCACGACGTTTCATGTGCCATGTATTCCGTTGCGATACACCCGCTCGTACTATTGCGAACACGTTGAGGGATATCTGTAAACGATTAATGCTGCAACGAAGACCGAATACATTGAATTCAATGGAACGCAATGAGAGAAGGATTGTCAGTAGGGGTACTCTATTGCTTTCTGTTGTTTTTCCTTTTCCAGTATTCAAATTGTCATTTTTCCAGTATTCAGGTTGTGCATAACTAATCTGATTTTATTCTTAAATACATTCAATTGTAATCTCCGAAAACGACTTGCCAGTCAATGCTTACAAAATTGAATAAATGGATTACAACTCAAAGATTGATCAAAAAATTGAATTTCAGGAGAATCTTCGTTGCCAACACCAATTGAAGAGCCAAAAAAGACGATCAGATGTCACTTTTTGGGTGTTACTCAGGTACCACGTGCAACTGGAATTGAGATCTTAAATGAAGCTGTTGATCGACTCGTTTCACAGGTTATTATTCTGTTATTCATTATTTTTGGTTCGGTCTTCATTCATTTTCGGTCGATTTTCATTAGGAAGTTCAATGGTTCAAATTGCTCAAGTAATCAAACAATAATTCCCCAGTTCATCCGGTGAGTGTCAAATGAATTCTGATTAAAGGTGCGTCCAGAACGTTGGATTTTAACGGACGTATCGATAGCACCGTCAACAATAACAATCAATGAGGTGAACGGGAATCAGATTGCTGAGTGTCGCGTGCGTTATCTCTCATTTCTGGGTATTGGTCGCGATATCAAGTTCGTTTTCGTCATTAATTATCGTCACTACTATTGTTGTTTTTAAGTTTATCACTCATTCATTATTA